TTACTTTCACGGTTTATGAAAAAGTACTAATTAAGTTTCTGCATAAATTGTATGTATTTCGTTTGAATTTACTTATTGTTCTATTTATAACAGAGACGGACAAGCTAGGAGGTTATAATCCTTAGCATTTTCAATGGCAATATAGCAAGGACTTTCGGAAATCCACAGATTGCAACCGAGACGAAAATTGACACTATACGGTTTTACATCTGTGGACGCTGGTTCTCTCTCGACTCTAACGAAATTCGTTATTCCCACTTTTTATTCAAGTCAATATTTTCCACAAGTTGAATCTAACATAATAAGACAATTATTAACAAACATACTTGGTAGCAATCGAACACACAACGCTTTGTGGTAGTAATCTACCACGACTATCATTGGAGCCTCAAATCAAACATCATTTATTCCTGTAGGTAGCTCAGTCAAAACAGTTAAAAATTAAAAACTCTAGATTTACATTTATTACCAAAAGCCAGCATCAGAAGTATGTGGAAAGGTTTTGTAGCGATGACAATCAAAGTAAATAGATTACTAATACTTTTTTATATCCGATTATAGTGACAAATACAAATAATAGAGTGATAATGGTGTAGTATCACCAAATTTGAGTGATACTTGTGATATCGAAACGATAGCCTTTATCACACTATCTTAATCCCTACTTTTGCATTAGTAACAGTACAGAATGTACTAGACACATTTTACTGTACACTTCTTGAGAATCCCTCTGAAATGTCTACAGTTCACATGTAAGAGTTTTCTTGTACAAAGAAATTTACCATATATTTAGAATTATACTCTAAAACAAAATATGAAGCCAATATTAATATACTCAAAATAAAAAAATAAATAATTCTAAAATAACACTTACAAAAGTGTTTTATTGTTTTAAGTATTTTTTGGAATGTGCATTTTCTTTTAGACAGAAAATCAATAACAAAATAGTAGTTGTTGTATTTCTGTCAAATTTTGTCAGATCTAAACAGACTTGTAAAATAATTGTCTCACTAGCGACTTTTATTTACTTTTTTTTCTATAAATACTTTAACTCAGACAATTATTTAAATTGGATTGTTTGTGAAATGTTCAATTGATTTTGCGGTGGCGTGATCTCGTTCTCATTGTATTTGTTATCTCGGTGACATCAGAGGTGCAACAATATTTATATCTTGTTAAAGTACACGACAAACTGAGTGCGTTGTCCGTTAAATATAGGGCTGAACGTTCTAGAAAGTATATAATCTTGATTAAATTATATATTCTTTATAATTTATTGTATGATGGTTAAGTTAGAGCAAAGACATTTTTGTGTCCGTTTCACAAATTTGTTTTTTTTTTACAGACGGATCAATCTATTGTTTTCCCAATTCAAACCCGAGACCTCTCGCGCTTAACGCAATCCTAGGGTACACGTTTAACCATTTATCTATAGATACGGTCATTGTTAATAGGGATAGACTGAAATAACTATTTTCATGTGTAAAACAACTGCTAACCGAATTTTGGCCGAATTTCAGTTTTGAATGTAAACCGCATTCTTCTTCTTTTCAGCCTTCTTCTTCTTTCTTTCGTTATTGCCAGCTCCGTGAAAGTCTCCGTGACCCAATAGTTATATACGAGTATAACATCGGAAATAGTTTTGGTCGGGCAGAACACAGAAGTGAGACAGACAGATAGAAAATAGTGTTTGTCTTCTTCATTTTACACCAATCACCAAAACCTTATCAGACAACTAAACGATAGATAAAGATAAAAGACAGCCCTATTCTTCAGCTAGTGTTTCTATTGAATAATGGTTTGTCATACTCATTTTTAAACAACCTTCATTAATCAATCAAAGCGATTTTCAACGCTCAATTATTTAACATTTCTCTAACATACAAAACAGACTGTTTTTACAATTGAATTTAGATTGAGGTAGGTCGCTTTACATAATGACTTTGACGGTTATATATTAAAGCAAGCCTACTAGATATATTCATAGGAGGAATTTGACCGGATTGAAGGACCAATAACAATGTACTACAAATAACTAGCGAGTTACTATTATTTATATTAAATTAATTTGTGCTTACGATTCCCACATTCTCGCATATTTGTAATCAAACATGTTTGGAAGTTTGGAAATTCTGCCCTGGACAAAAACCCACATGTTTTCACAGATGGGAAAAAGTTAAAACTCAACATAGTTCATACAACTTTTAAGATTTATCAAACCCAAACAAAATTTTTCTTTCATTCTATGCAATCGAAGACTTATTTACGGACATTTTCAACAACGATTACTATGTTTTTCAAAGATAGAGGAGAAAAGCATGGAGGTCACTAGAGGTGAAATACCCCACCAGCCTATTGCATCCCCACCAGCCTATTGCATCTAAACAAGATGCGCTATCGACCTATTTTGGCGTTAAATATTCGGAAATCCACAGACTGAAACCGAAACGTGATTAAACTTGATGGCTTTTTCATTTCTACCACCCATTTCCAGAAGAAGTCAAGTGTTTCAGAAAAAACATAATTTGATTAGAAAAGTTTTTGACCCGGTGGGGATCGAATCTGCGACCCGTTGATTATTAGTACATTGTCACCATTACACCATCGAGCCGGTCATATAGAGCTTATTATGAAGTTCGTCATGCCGGGACCTAGATGTTATTTTGGTAGAAGTCTGCCACTGTCAGTGACGTCTAATCGTTACGTATTTATCTTGGCTCAAGGTATTATTCACGTGACTTACACCATGTCTAATATAGGATGATAAATCTGATCATTGACAATACCACTAAATTTGCATAATTTCTGTAAACTGTCTGTAGTTTACGCAAGTAATTTAAATGTGTACTTTAAATAAAACACTTTAACAGTTTAAACGCGATATATATTAGTCAAATTTATTTTACAGTCTATACAGAAACGTCCAAATAAGTTTTACTAATACATAACGCGTTTTAAACCGATAAAATGTTTTTTTTTTATTATTACACTTACTAATTTTGTTGTTCGATAAAATCGTTTGACACTATATTCCTATATTTTAAAATTTCGTAGCAGTTAAACTCAACGGCTTATTTAGGCAATAAAATATGTTCTACTTCGTAACATTTTTGTCTTTTGATTATTCTTATTTAACATACTGTCTATAGTTTACGCGAGTAGTACACAGTGGCAGCCGTGGTCACGGGGTCAGTCTCCCCGTGACCACGGCTGCTGCAAAGCATCCGAAACGTCGGGCCGAAGTTAAAAATAATTTTCAAATAAGTTTAACTAATATATCGCGTTTTAAACCGTTAAAGTGTTTTATTTAAACTTATTTAACATTTTTATGTTTTAGTTTCTATTATTTTAAATAAATATAAATTATCGAACAGAAAAGTAAAGTTTAATCGTAGTTCACCGAATTTTTTTTTATATCAGTAGTGATTATAAAATGTATCATCCTATATTTGACAAGATATAAACGTCCGTTGCATTGAATTCTGAAAGCGTTAATCAAATAAATTTACCGACTGCATTTTATAGAAAATGTAATTGTGCTATTTCTTCAATAGAGTTCAATATCAGTCTGTAGTTTGATTTTTTAAAGTCGCTTACGTTACATAAAGAAAGTGTTTTTTTTTTTTGTTATAACTAGCTGTGCCAGCGACATCGTCATCTTTGAAAAGTTATTTTCGGCATCAAAATTTGTTTTTGGAAGTCTTCTTATCTTTATAAATTATACTGTTACTAAATTAATACATACACGTCACGTCATGGACATTTTTTTTTGATAGTTTAACGAGGAATCATTCTTTGAACGCATTTTTTTGGGTATCCGTAAACCGTTTTTGCAACGCAACGGACACCCAATAAGGATGAATAATTTTTCTCGTTTCCCTCTGTTTCTCCGCTCCTCTTAGTCACAGCGTGATGTAAAGCCTAAAGCTTTCTTCGATAAATGCTCTAGCCAACACAAACCTTTTCAATTTGATCCAGTAGTTCCTGAGATTACCGCTTTCAAACGAACAAACTCTTCAGCTTTATATATTAGTATAGATCAGTTATAGAATTAATATTCAATGTTCAGTTATCAGTGTCTCTCGTTCTTATCCTCTTCTTTAGTTCTGATTGCGATTAGCTCGCTAAAACTAATAAAAAATAAATAAAAATCGTTGTCATGAATGCATTTCAATAAATTACTTACCAGACTAAGGTTAATGCTAAGTAAAAGGTTAACTTAATACGGTAAATAAATCGTGGAAAACTTGACATTAAAATGGCAAAACATGTTACTTTGATACCATATGTTTTAAACGGTATAGAAAGAAAAGTGACACACCTGAGATTGAAGGTAATTGTAAGATAGACCGCATAAAAATCGTAGAATCTTGAATTAAAATTACATTTTTATATAGTCATAATTATCGCGAACCATCGTATCTAAGTATCGTGGTTTAAAGGTATATTGCCTAGCATTGCGTTAAGTGTTAAAAAGAATGTCCTGGGTTCGTGTTCCAGGAAAGGACACACATAAGAAATAAACTGGGACTGCCTCGAACGAACGATTTTAATAGATAAATTTAATAGCGGTTATGATAATAAAACCCTTTTAACGGTGTGAAATGCGTACATCGTAATTTATCGTTTTAAACCGTTAAAAGTGTTTTATTCAAATGTGTACGAGTCGTTATAACTACAGACAAAACTTATTAACAGTAAACTGATATTTGGTAGTGATTCCGCACTGTTAGGTGATATAATTTACGAGTATTGTTGTTCTTATCTCAATTTTTATTTCATCTATCGTCGTGCGTGCTGATCATAGCGAACCATTAATTTATCTTATCGAGGTCGTTCACTCTTGACATTCAACTTTTGTCTCATGTTAGTCACGACCGAATGGACGATTGTATAATATGCAACCGTGCGTCGCAGATGCATTTCTATCGCGTATCTGACCTCTATCTCCTACCTTACCTTCTTGTATATGAATCTAATTGAACTCCTTCTCATTTCAGACGCAGATGAGCGGAGATCGAGCAGGTTCCCAGTGCGGTCTGACATCGCTGCTACCTATGTCCTGTCGCGGTCGCGCCGCAGCATTCGCCCGAGACTTGCAGTCAAGACTCCGCAACCTCGGCACCCCTCAAGATGGCGAATGTGAGAACTCATGGCTGAGGAATAACGGCGTCCATCGGCCATCAACGTCGTCGCAGCGAGACCTCGAAACTTTCTACGACTTTGAACTTGAATGTGAAAGTCCGTCCAGCCCCGTAGAGGAGTACGAAGCGCCATTTCCAGAACGACGAGTAGAAGACTCTGAACCGACATACACCGACGTCAATTCCGATGAATTAAAAGAACAAAAGAAATTTGTGCTCAAACACCCCGATAATGGTAAAAACGGATTTAAATTTACGACAGCTTTTTATACAGAATCTCCTGTAAAAGTGCAACCGGCTCCTAAAGAAAATGGGCACGCAGATAAACCACTATATTCGCCGATTACCTTCGAAGGCTGTGCCCGACAAAACAGTTACGATGAAGTAGATTGTGTGCCACCTATAGCTTTTAGAGAGAACGGCAGCATCAACTCACTAGGCATCCATTCTACAGTTGACAGTGATTCAGAATTTGAATCTGCAAAAAGTGAACCCTCTGATGGAAATGAAGATGAAATCGAATTCGATAGAAATATAGAAACCGATACGAGTGAAGCACTGGAAAATGTATCATTAATCGATGTTGATTTACCTTATGAAGATGAATCAAAAATCGAGCAAGAACTATCTATTGATACACAATTAGACAACGATGCAATACCGGAGACAGTAACAGATGAAGCAGAAAAAGAATCTACACAGACTTTACAAAAAGAACAGCCTCAGGTGAATGATGAGCTGAAGCAAGATGAAGAGGGAGATGATGATAGACCTCAACGAGTACGTAGGTGTTCATCCTTAAAAACCGGTAAAACGCCCCCTGGCACACCAGGACGAAAAAAAATTGTTCGGTTTGCAGATGTTTTAGGGCTAGACTTAGCCGATGTAAAAACGTTTATGGATGAGATTCCGGTAATTCCAAAGTCTGCCTACGATGACCTTACCGGATGTGACGTTCAAAGTTCTCCCCCCGCACGCCCTACACCTAGGCTGGGAGCTCTTACGTTGGTACCACTATTCCGTCTTCCCCAGGATCTTACAGAAAAGCTCGAAAAACAGAACGTGTGTCTAGAAAGTGCTCGAGTGTCTGACGGCGTACATATAACAATTTGTGGGTCCGTTCGTGTAAGGAACTTGGATTTTCATAAGACTGTCCACATTCGTTACACTATGAACAGGTGGAAAACTTATACCGATTTGCAAGCATCATACGTACAAGGCTCGTGTGATGGATATTCTGATCGATTCCAGTTCGTGTTATACGCGCCTTGCATATCCTCTGGACAAAGATTGGAAATAGCTGTGAGATTTCAGTGCAAAGGGCAGCAGTTTTGGGACAACAATTGTGGAGCGAATTACTGTTTCGACTGCTTAGCGTTGGGTGCGTCGCTGACGCCACCATCTCCTATGGGTGCTCTACACCCCACTTTGGATTGGCATCCGTCTTTCTACTGACATCGTAGTGGGTAGAAGGTTCTGAGAATAAGAGCGTGAATGCATCGATGGCATCATTTGAGACGGGCGGTGCATCGGGCAGGACCCGGACGGCGAGGCGGCTCGCGGGGATTCCCACGGCTGGTCACATTCCTGTGCCTACTTCCACTAACGACAGTTCCTATGCGAGAGAACTTGGCGTCCTTAATTGAGGCTTCAGATGTAAAGCAATATTGTGATATACTATAGAATAGGTAGATATAATGAAACGAGCGAACGACTCGTTCGGAGTGCCATTTGCAATAATAATTACTGATTTTGAAGTTTTACTCATATTATTTCGATAGAATTACGTCCTTGGGACAATAAAACTCAATTATAAGTGCATGAACACAATTATAGGAAGGTAGCGAACACACGCGGGCTGCCCCACGATTCGTTGTAACGACTGTAAATAGATTGAGAGGTGATGAGAGATTTGATATTTTAATTAGTAAGGACACTATTAGTCGAACGAATGTAGTAATGTCGAAACATCACATAGGTGGACATTCACATTCATATTTTATATGTTACTAATCGTTAGTCGACCTATCTTTTTGTCATTAGATATTGTTAATTTTACTATCGTTAAAATGTGGATGTAATAAATAGATTTTATAAAAAATATTCTCAACTAAAATGTTTAAAGTACTGTTTTCTATTTTTATAAAGTTGAATATTTACAAAAGCCCATCATGACATGCGAAGGAATTTTAAAGATATGTATGTTTATTTAGTGTTGAGATTAAATACATATTTATCAGCTGACTCTAAGAAAATGTGAAACTAAATTATTGTTATTTTTAAGATGTCATCAATATTTATAATCAACTGTTTTCGTTCTTGTACCTGAATTCTATGTGGCCATTAATTTTTACATTTCATAATAAAAATTAATTTGCCTTTGTACTGATTTATGATTATTATACTTAATTTTATTGTAATTATATATGAAATAGACAGTTGTTTCATCGATAAACAATTATAATAAACGAATGTTCTTAATACTTATGAGTTTTAATAACCCACCTTATATTGTATGTAACACGAGTATGATAACATGATCTCATCCACGATAAGAGGATCTGCCTGTTTTGTTGTATGTAAAAGTTCTATTAAATTTATAAATAGAACTATTTTAACGGTTTCTAAGGCTAAAAATATCAGTTTACTTACTAGTACTAAAAATGAAACGAGAAATAAGACACCGTGAGTCAGTTCTGTTACGACCCACCTAGTTTCTTTAAATACCAAAAGTTTTCCGTAATTTATACAACAGCCTTGTACGAAGTATACTAGAATATTGCTCCACTGTGTGGCGACCGCACTATGCTGCCCATATATTACGTATTGAAAGGATACAAAAGCGATTTCTATGGCATCTAGTGTTTTCGACAGGGATATCAAGAAAAATACTATCATCTTATAAAAGTCGCCTTGATTATTTTAATATTTCATCTCTTGAAACCCGTAGGGAGTTAATAGATTTATTATTAGTATCTAAGTTACACAATAACAAAATAGACAGCCCTGCTCTTTTACAATCCTTCAATATTCGAGTTCCTATTAGACTTCCACGAGGTACTATAACACCATTTCTTCCTCCTTTTCGCAAAACAGTCTTTGGATCAAATTCACCAGTTGTCAGACTCAGTAAAATCGTTAATAAATACAGCAACGACATCGACATACATTTTTATTCACCTCACAAGCTTCGAACCCAGGCAAAAAACCTAATCTCTATTTGTTTGTAGCTTATTAGTAATAATTGCTTCGTTCTTCCTTTTTAATTACACTATTTTGTTTTAGTTATAGATTTAAGTTTAATTTAATTTGTCTTGTCTTTTGGCGAATGATGTGTTTGCCAATAATTGTTAAATGCATTTGTAACCTACTTTATGAAGTAAAATTATAAATGTATGAATGTAATTTAACGCTGGCAGACCAATAAATAAATAAATAAATACCAACTACGACGACCAGATGGCGCTAGCATGTTACGTGTTACTAGCGCCATCTAGACGAAGTCAAATCTGCTAAGTTTTGACTATGACATTGAGTACACTCTCCATCTTCAGAAACCTTTAAAGTGGGTTTATTTAATAAGTACTACTTGCCTAAATTACAGGCATTACTTGTGTTACGTATTCCATATATGTCAACCAAAAGACAATTTAAATAAAACACTTTAACGTGCGTTTCGGCTGCTGCAAAGAAACCGATACGTCGGGCCGAAGTTAAAAATCATTTTCAAATAAGTTTAACTAATATATCGCGTTTCAAACCGTTAAAGTGTTTTATTTAAATGTGTACTACTCGCGTAAACTATAGACAGTATTCAAAAGACAATTTCTTACAACGTTGATTCGAACTTATAAGTTAAAATTGAGATATTTTTCAAATCATACAAAGAAATAAATTTAAAATACTTTATTAAGTACGTTTTTGTAAGATTTTTTAAAACTAAACATATCACAAATTATATCGGATACATGTAGAAAACAGAGAATAATAAAATTATAATGCAAGATGAATTGTATATTTACAATTTTCAATAGCAGAAAGTTGATCATCAACAAAAAACATCTATATACCTTAAACATTTGTTAAGTAAAAAGAAGAAAAGCCTTCTTTATTGTCCTGTCTTGAGATCATATAATCTCTATCTTCATTTTTGTTATGAACAAAATTATTTATAAAGTTTTACAAAAGCAAACGAAGCTTTAACAATTTAAATATCACAATTTATAACTACTATTTACATTTTTTTTGCATACTGTTTTATCTTCTACTTAGGCTTCTACTTAGTAACAAACAAAGAAGAAAGAAATATAATACATTTATTGCTAAGAATAGACAATTAAACCAACATCAGTTTAGTACACAAGTTGTAAGTATTAATATTACATAATAGTCTACAAATATTATTTTAATATAAATAATTATTTCAACCTACCTAAAAATGACTAAGATAATGTATATAAATGAAACACATTAACGGTTAGAAACGCGAAAACAATTAGATACACTTATTTTACAAGAAAATAAGCCGTGGTCACGGGAAACTAAATATGGAGGGTGTCTTAATGTCAAAGTAAAAAATGCTACGCTAGCGCCATCAGTTCCGTCGAAGTTGGTTGCCGAAACTGGCCGGGTCCTTGTAGAATTGACTAACTGGTTTTTGGAATCGAGAGTTTTTAACATGGGATTTCAGGTGATTTAGATTTATTGAAACGTCGGGCCGTCGGTCGTAAATAAGTTTAACTAATACATTTCGTGTTTTAAACCGTTAAAGTGTTTTTTTTTTTTATGTGTACTACTCGCGTAAATTACAGACAGTATTCAAGATAATAGTGCCCACAATAGTTCGCTAGTTACGGCTATACAGTTTTATAATCTATCATATAATCTTGGTCTATCGCTAGGTGTTGGTGGTATCGCTATACTTGGATCTCGTAAGGCCTTCAGCTGCATATGAAGTCTCTGCTTGCAGAACTCGTAGAACTCGATCTCTCGTGTGAAATTCGCGCGTACAATATTCTTCACTTCCTCGGAGACTGGTGGTTTGAACGCATTTCGGTTGATCCGGTTGAAAGTGTTTAACTCTTCTGAAAGAACGGAAAATATGACGTTAGGAATAAGAAAACGGCAAATTAGTAATGAAAAAGTCTTCCAGACGTTATAAACATCGCGGGGGAAATAAAATTAAAAATGTAAATGGCGCTGGCGTAGTAAATTTTAAATTTACGCTAGCGCCATCTGTTATTTTATATGAATCACCTATATTACTAATACGTTCGTCTGCCAGAGAATCCCAAATGAAGGGTGTTTACGATAGCAAAATTACAATTCTTTGATGTAGTTGATGTTTTGGTTTTTGTATCTTTAAGGCGAAAGCAGAACTAGTCTAGATATTTAGTAAAGTATGAATATTATAGACTAATCACTCTTAATTTATTGCACATACTTATCACAATTACTAACCCCAGTACGTTCTCAGTGCTCCCCTGAAGAACCTTGGTATGTATCTCTCCAAAGCTAACAATGTTGAGTTCATGTCTTCCAGGACGCCCACCACTGCATATTGCTGTTCCACTACTCGTTTTGCACGCTGTAAGGCTTCGACGGTATTGAATGGTCTGTAATATAATGTCATTGTAATAAGAAGTTGATTTGATATTTATTTCTGTTTGTCTGCTTAATGTCTGCACTTAGTTTTAATAAAAATAGATTTTAGATTAAAAATAAATTGCGACACACGCATGACTTGCACCTGCATTCACAGCGTTCCGTGCTGTTTCTCCAACCAATAGAGCTGTCATGTCCTACACGTCATCGGCGAATATTTCAAAAAATTCAACGATGACGTATAGGAGACTCCTGTAGCTAAGAGAGAGATAAGACAGACAAACATAGGGCATCTAATTGAGATGTGTTGTTGACCTATTTCTGCTTCGGACTTAGATTTTTTTGATAGAGCTCAAAATGCTGATATATTGTCTGTGCGTGATCAAAAGAGGTGGATGTTTTAAACTTTAATATTTTTCGCATGAGTACTACACTATATAAATTCAAAATTGATTATAAATTGAAAAAATGTACGATTCGGTCAGGGCTTGAACTGGCATCCTCAGCGTTCCGTGCTGTTGCTCAAACCAAGTTGAGTCGAGTCCGAGTGAATAGATGTATGTTTAATACATGTGTATGTATCTAATATACATCTATTCAACTCTATACTAAATTTAACTCTTTGAATTAACACGTATGTATCCACGAATAAAGAGAAAAAAACAGAAGAATTGTATCTAATACTTACGTGCACTGAGGCTCGTGCCCGCAAAAGAAGAGTGTCTGTCGGCGATGATCACCAATCCCCTCGTGGGTTTCTCCTTCTATGTAGCGACATTCTCTATCACCACTCAGCACGCACGTTTCGAAGTCCTGAAAGATATGATTTGGGATATTTTATAATGAAATATGTCAATCTATACTAATATTATAAATGCGAAAGTAACTCTGTCTGGACACTCAAACTCCGTAACTACTGAACTTCTTTGAATTAAATTTGGTACACAGATATTTTAGAGCCTGAGAAAAGACATGGACTACTTTTTAATGCTAAAAAAGGGTTGGTAGGGGTTGAAAAAGGGGATGAAAGTTTGTATAGAAATTCGTTTTTGAAGCTAGAGCAATGAAACTTTCTTTGGCTTTTTGGGAATGAGAGTGGGAGTTAGAGTAAGAGTAATGTGAGGTGAGAGTGTTGCGGCAAAGTAGCACTTACAACATAGATTGGCTGCCTTAAATGCGCCCTTACTTAAATTAATTAACTGTCTAAATAATTAAAAATTCTACCCCAAGTCACTATTACACGCGGCCGAAGTCGCGGACATAGTTAGCTAATAATAATAATATATGTAAGTTATATTTAAACACTAAAGACACGATAATGTCAAATATAAACTTTGAATGATAAGTACTTTTGAGTATTCCAAATACACACTAGGTGTAAATGAAAATGTACCTCAAGGATTTTCATTAAGTCAAAAACTCGTTAACTCATTTATTCTTACCGATAACTAATTATCGAGAAACTATTGTACTGGGTATAAAAAATAAGCTTTCACACTCACTACTAACGAGCGAGTCGAATCACCAATTAAGCTAAATTAAGCTACAACATAACATACAAGCTTAAACATAACTAAAGCTTAAAATACATTTATTAATTATACTTTACTTTTAAACTTTTCATAGTTTTATTATAAATCCCACCTATAAATAAAACACTAACGGTTTAAAACGCGATGTATTTTAGTTAAACTTGGTCACGGCCGTTGCAAAGCATTCGAAACGTCGGGCCGTAGTTAAAAATAACTTTCAAACAAGTTCAACTAAAATATATAGCGTTGTAAACCGTTAAATTGTCTTATTTAAATGTGTACTCGTGTAAACTACAGACAGTATTAAATCCCACTTTTGTTTTCAATTTAATGTGCCAAATCTAATGTATCGTATTAAAGCAATATATAAGTATATAAAAATATTTGTTAGCCTACGATTTGGTAATAGTACATTATGATATAAGTGCGGTAAGTTGAAAATTACAGCCGAGGCGATATTATTAGCCCGAGCCATTCGCGAGGGCTGTAAGAAAGCAGAGGCTGTAATTGTCAAAGCGCACGTATGTCATACAACGTTTTATAACATATTTACGAGGAAATGATGACATTTTCAAATAAAAACAATACAGCGAAAAAAAAAAGCGCGCGGCATTATTTTTACTTGTCTACTTGTAATAAGCGATGCGCGCGCATCTACCTTTTTTTTTAGGCAAAGGTACAAAAACAGCCAGTATTACTAATAAAGTAAATTAATATATTTGTGTTTTTGTTATAGATAAATGGTTGTAATTTATTGTCAAAATTAATTAAATTAAAGAATTAAATGTTTATTTGTTATATTTTATTTCCCAAAGTTAATTTTATTCATAAAATATTGACCACTTTCTTGACATAAAACCTCTTTGCTAAGAAAAAGAACACGTGCTTTTTACATTACATTATCGCACAAGTACGTAATGAGATACATTACGATATTGAAATTGGTGTAGTTACATCCACTTTACGAGCAAATATGTTATAAATGGTATTACTTCGGAAAGTTAGCGGCAGTCTAGATACCGAACCCCTCAGGCAACTTATAAAAATATAGCTCGCGCCTATAATTGTAGTATCATATAATTACTCGTGCAAAAAATCACACGCGATACAGATTAATATTTCGTTTCGCCATGATAATTAAAACATCACTTTTTTACCGAGCAAAACTAATTTATTTTTTATTCCTTCGCCTAGAACGATGTCCTGACGTCTCTGAATACGAGTCGTAAGTGTATCTCATTTAACAATAGCCTTATATACAAGTGTGTTTTTACCACTTACCGAGTAGAGACTATTACTGTGAGTACGAAGTGAAAACCTTTAAAAAATCTAAGGCTAATTTTATAATTCAGTTTTCATCTGTCGATGCCGTAGGTAAGTCGAAAAGACTACGAAATATGTATATGTTTAAATTTAGTGCCTTCGTTTAAGTTAGTGAACATGTAACCTTTTTAGATCTGTATGTTTTTATTTTAAGTTCTGTGTTTTTTTGTTTAATTATTTATTGTTTTGTATTAATTTGTTTCGCCTACCTTGCACATCTCATTTTCTTAACATTTCATAACTTTAAGTTGCCTGGAAGAGATGGCTTGTTAGCGATAAGGCCGCCCATTGCTCTCCATTCTAGTATATAAGTTTAATTTGTAATATTTTTATTTTTTTTGTGTAATAAATAAATATGTAGCTTTTATTATTGACCAACTATGCCCGCGACTACGTCCATATAATTTTTCGATTCGATCCAATATCCGATATAGCCCGTTAAAACAAACTCTTCAGCTTTATATTAGTAGATTATTAAGCTTTACGGGCTTTGAACCGGTATCCTAGCATTCCGTGCTGCTGCTCTAACCAACACGACACGGTAGATCAATTGGTTAGAGTTATGGTCGGAGAGCTGTGGATGCGGCTTCAAGTGCCACCGTTGCATATGGCATTGGGCAAACACATTTTTATGTCCGTTTACTGATCGGTTCTTTTATTTGTTTAGTTGATCATACTTCTGTGCCCCAGACACTCTGTGGGAATCGAACCCAGGATCTTTATCTTAACGCATCGTTAGGCAACACGATTAACAATTTATTTACAGAGGCAGTTTATTTGTACAGTTAAATTAATTATCAAGCCAATATCTATTCGAGACCTAAGGCTCGGGAAATTCTATGAAGGATAATATATAATTGAATCGATCAAGATAGAAGATCTGGGCGAATGATCATTATAAAGTCCATTCAGTCGACTAATTGTCGATACAGCGTACAATTGTCACAATTGGTAGAGCAAAAAGTACAATATTTTGAGCAACCTACCTACTTGTTATAATTGCATATGTATTTTTTGTTGTCGCTTCACAAAAACCCATCTATTCTGGGGCCGACACTTACAAGGCTAAACATTATATAATTAGTTAACTTTTTTATGATGGAGGAGGGTAGACAGGCATAGGGTTCATCGATGAAAAGTTAAATACCCCCGTAAGTAGTTTAAAAGTGCTGCTCACTTATTTTTACTTTAATCAAAACATACGAGGTCTCTATGGTAAGCTTTATGTGAAGCAAATATACTCTTTGACTGATTCAACGATAATGTGTGACTGATTATACAAGCACACAAAAACCGGTCCCAGTTAAGACTAATAAATTAGTGGCGGTAGTTGTCAAAACGCGCACTGAAGTAGCATGGTGGACCCTCAAAACCCTCTCCCATGTGAGAGAAGACCTGGTCCCAGCAGTGGAACGTTAATAGGTTGGAACGAATAGTAAAAATCGAGGCCACGACACAATAATAATTTAACTGGGTCTTTGCACTTGTTGACAGTATGACGGTCACTGAGCCACCTTACACTGGTGTGTGTTCAGTATAACGAAGATTATTTTAACGTTTAAAATATTAAGCTTAGATAGACATTTGTAAAAATGGCGATAAATATGTATATAATTTTGTCTTGAATTGGAAGGACATCGTGCAAAGGGGTATGGCGATCTCGTTGTAGCTATTTTGGAATTTATAATGGACGAAAAAGTTTCTAGTCTTAATTTCATTCTAACAGCGATCAATTACAATTCATACTTCATACATAATAACTTCTTTTATAATATCTACAATTATAATAATGATGCACCTGTGTTTACAGATAATTTATAACTCCGACTTTGATTGATCTTATCAAAAAGCTCAAAGAGCTCAATCTTAAGCGATCATAGCTCGCGCATCATCAATAATAGTTCATTTGTCAATCATCAAAATACAACATCGGTTTTTATACTCTGTGCACAAAAACATTAACATACTCACTTATTAGAAATTATCAGGTGTTCTATTTGTTGTATATGTACGAGCATGTTTTATATCGATCGCAACAATGGCTTAATTATTAAAGCGTGAAGTCCTGCGTTTGATTACCCGGGAAATATAATAGATCAAACGAAGATACAGCTACCACTCGCTCCTACGCTCCAAATAGGGTTAATTCTTTAACGACTGCATATTAACTTAATTAATTAGTACTATACCATTGTAAAACACCATAAACTAAACCATTATATCACTGTGAACACATATGATATAGAATTATGACTATATATAGATTTGCTCTCTATTTGCCACTTTGATACACGCGTATTAATTGTTTATAGACATTAAAAAATAAACAGAACGTTAAAACTAACTAAAACTTAAATAATAATATGTATTTTTAGTTTTTCAATATATAGTTATAAATTTTATACATATTTGTATAGTCTATGTATTTTATTCTCTAAATTGCTACGTCTTCGGTGCATATACTCTGTGGTCGCGATTACACGCCGTCTCCATCTTTAATCTTCACACACTTCACAGTGTGACCAGTTTTTGCCGCCATCACAAAAGACGCGTCGTTTATAAAACAAACAATCGTTCAGTTGATTTACACAGTATAAACGCATTCCGATCCACGACTTCTTTTTGTCGGAAAAACTTGCAACATTATTCAGTATTAAATCCAACGAACGCTTTAACTGGGAGCTATAAATAAAAAGTTATTGACATCACTATTCTTTGTTGGTATGGAAGAAAACAATAGCTGTTAATTTAATATAAAAAGTTCTAAGTTTGTGATAGACATGTACTTGTGTCTAATTGTTTGCAAATAATTTATGTTTGCCTCAATGTAGAAATGTTTAATTTAAGACGTGTCTGTTGACGTTAACATTAAATAAAACGTTTTAAAATATTAAAATGCGGTCGGTGATTTAATTAATTGTGTACGATTTACCCAACGTTGTGTATATTTTTCAGCAGACGCTGTCGTAGTTAAGAGATCATAAAAGTTACTATTAATATTCTATTTAATTAAAAATTGTAGGCGTAGATGATATTAAATTAAACCTTTCTTGTTATTAGTTAAACTTATTTGAAAAATTATTTTTAACTTCGGCCCGACGTTTCGGGTGCTTTGCAGCAGCCGTGCCCGTCACGGGGAGACTAAAGATGGAGGATGTCTTTGACGTCAAAGTAAAAATAATTGCTACCCGAAACTTGCGAAAAGCTTGCGTAACTGACCGGTTATTTGCAGAGCTGACTAATGGTGTCTCCGCGTTTTCCGGTATGCTGTTTATTAGAATCCAGAGTATAGATAGTAATTACAGTCGATAAAAATGTACGTAAGACGGGGTGGTAAAGGTAGAATGTTAAAAATTCAATATCAATTACACTTCGCGTTTCGATCCGTTTAAAATTGTATGATTTCAACTCTAATTCACTTCACAGAATTCTTAAATATCCATCACGTGTGGCATAAAAAATGTTAACATTGATTACTCGAAAGTGACTCACGTGAGAACGTTTTTTTATTGATTTAATGACCTATAGTTATTGTTACATTATGGAGCATGCAAAAATGATAGCACGCTAAACATAATTTATTACGTCGAGTGCACACTTATTGAATTATCTTAATAAAAAGGCTAAGTGCGAGTTGGACCCGCGAACGAAGGGTTCCGTAACAATAATCAGATAAACAGCAATAAGAAATTTGTGTATTGTGTTTATACACAAATTTCTTATTGTAACGTTTTATTTTATAAATGAATACTACAATGTAGTATTTTATAAATATTGTAACTGCCTTTTAATTTAATTACAGAAAAAATAGTTACGAGTGGGTTGATAAATTAGCCCTTCTCAAATATTTATTTTATTATGTTTCTGGTGTTTGTTACAGCGGCAAGAAAAAAAATATATATTTTTTTAAATAAATATCGTAGCTAATACAATTAAATGCAGTCTATATCATAACCCTTGTTTACGAAACACTATTCAATATGTACCATAAACATTAATGTATCGAATGTGTGAATTTGTTTTTATGTCGGAATAATTTTTATTCACTCCTTCTCTTACAATGGTAATTTAAATTAATAGGTTCTTTGTTATTATGAATATAGAGATGGGCTAACATTCGGTTTAACTGTGTTTACACAAAATGGACCGAACTTCAACCTTTAGCCGCAATTCGACGTAAGTTACCAAAAAACAAGAGACTATCTTCGTCGAAATTTCGTCTATTATCTTTGTTTTATATATTTAGTAACTTAGTGTTCCTATTATATAAAACAAATATAATATTATGTTGTTAATGTAAATATAGTGTTGTTATATGTAAACATTGAACACCCGTAGTTAACTATGAGCATGAGTTTTAACACAATCGATAACCGAATAAGTCGGCTTCAGATTAAAATATAATCAACTTATCTCTACTGCGTATACTTAGAGCATTGTTTGTTATTCTGGAATATCAAGTATCTTACCTTTTTCAACCAGGCTGGATCAGGTAGAGGCAGATCTGGGAAGGCTCGCTTTCGTTCCACGTAATACCAGGGAGCTCTGACGTAGTAGTACCACGATATGACTCGTTCTATCGGATCTCGGACTACGTTAACGTAAATTGGTGAAGGGTAGCCGAACCTGGAATTCAGAAGCATATAGTCAAAACCAATCCGATAGGTATGAGGTTACTTGATGCATAAGAATACTCCTGATGTATAAGATCTAATTAAAAATTTTACAAGGTTTTCGTGGCCATTTTGCTTAGTCGAGGAACCCTCAATATCTCCTGATGATGCATTCCACTTGTGCTGATGACACGAGAACCATTTACCAGATCGCAGAACAGCTTGAAAACTCAAGTAGCTTTATCTAGCTAGAGTGTAAGCACGTAGTACACTAGCACATTTGAATAAATCACTTTTGACGATTATAGTCAACTTATTTCAACTAAGAATAATAAAGGAATTCAGAAAATGATGCTTCTAAGGATCGAAGACCTAAAGTAAAATTTCTGTATAGCCAACGACAATATTGTTAGTCGTACAAACATTGCAATGGTTCATTATAAAAACAGATATATCGACAACACTATTGTTGCCAACATAACTATCAAATCTAGATTATTCTTATATGTAATATAAATTAAACTAGTGCGATGTTATATTCATTTGGCTCCAAGAACAATAATTCCGTTCCGCCTTTCACGCTAAACATCAATCATAACGAATCAGTTTGAAATAAACACAAACTCTCTAGAGATGATTAATGTATTGCAAATACATAAGTATACTAATCGGCATATATGAAGAAAAAATAGTAAGGTAGAACATACGCCGGACACGTATTTGTGTTTGTTTTAGTGACCGCACTGATCGATATTCTAGGATAATTTTCCCAGAAGGAGGCGGCTGAAGAAGCAAGAGAGATGGGGTCGAAAGACCCAAGGCGAGACGGGAATCAAGGCGGCGACTCTATGCGCATCTCCAAGATCATCCCTAATCTTTCGCCTTGTCTAAAATGGCCATTGGCGCTAGGAGCTTTGAAGTACAAACGTGGTGGTGTATTTAGTGGTTCTGGTCGGCTATGCGACTTACCACACTCCTCATGTCACTATTGCCCGACGTGGGCGTGCATTAGGCATTCATACCATCAGTTAAATAAAAGGACGAATTTCCTGGGATGCTAACTCAGATCCCCTTTTCTCGTAAACTCAATCGTAGGCAATCTGATAACCTATAAGGCACGGGGGCTGCTGTAAGTAAGTAATATAAAATAGGCAAGACTTAATATGTATTTATATTTTTAATTTTATCTCTATTTTATAACTGAAGACTTTTATAATTAAAAAACGGCTGTTTAAAACAAGATATACATTACTTTTCTTCTATATCACATATAGTATTGCTTGTAATAAAAATGTTCACATGTTGATCCTTCACCATTTTGTTTAGATTATTAAATTACTGTAATTATACATATTTATAAGCACTTATGTGAAACACTATTGAAATGTGTGTATATAAAAAGATTTGATCTTGGTATCTATTAAAAAAATAGTTCTATGATTTTTTATAATAATAGGTATTAAAGTATATATTTCAACGGTTTAAAACACGATATATTTTAGTTATATTTGTTTAAAAATTATTTTTAACTACGTCCCGAAGTTTCGAATACTTTTCAGCAGCCGTGGTCACGGGGAGAATAATATTTGTCACGTATTAAACCGTTTAAGTGTTTTATTTAAATGTGTACTACTTGCGCAAACTACAGACAATATACATAGTACTTACCGTGTAAAATTTGTGTAGCACACATGCTTGATATAGGAAGCTGGGGGCGCATGAGCAGATACTATACTGGCCAGAATTTGCTGGTCTGCCGGAGCCAGTCTGATCGTCTCTACCCGTTGAACAGCATCACGATGAAAACCTATTAAAAACAATAATATTGTCTAGAATAACGAGTAACAAAGTTGTACTTACTTTTAATTGAGATAGGGAAAAGGTCGATTCAGTAACCAAATATAAATTTATACACGCGTTTTATTTTTTTACCGTTTAAGTTTTATTTACGCGTTGGACCCCTCGCGCAACACAATGCAAGGCAACACGTTAACGATTTAACTAGAGAAGCAGCTATTTTCATTGGATATTATTTTTGTATATACAGTGCCTAAGAATCTAAAGGCGACAAAATAATAAAAAAAATAAAACTGAATTCTTGTTTGATATCCTGATGACAATGCTGTCGTCAAATCTTTTTTGACTCAAGGTAAAGTAAGTCATTAGTATTGTTCGCTGTTTGTAACGCGTTACATAATTACCACAGCTGTCGCTCCGTTGAATCTACAAAGTGTTATTATTCACAAAACAATACGACGCCGAAAAAAATATGACACGTTAATTTGATAAGATGGTGTTTGTTATAAAAAAACTTTTGTGCGTGTTAAAGCCTATTTCCCCAAGATGGGGAATGGGGGTATTATTTCGTGACCGTTTTTATGTACAGGGAAATTGTTAATCAGACTTTCGTAAATTATGTAACATTTTCACGGTCGTCGTTCAGCATATTATCATTGTTTTTCGGGCTGTTCGGCCGACGTGAGCGAGAAGAAGTTCTCGACGCTTCGCCATCACGTTCGTCGAGCAATCGAGGGTTTAACATCTCCTAATAATGCCCTTCACACGTGATGGCAAAACGTCGCGAACCTCTTCTCGCTGGTTGTCGAACTGATATTAAACCACTATTTATTTTATTTTCCCGAGATTTTAATGTTGGCGCAAATATTCATTTTGTTTCCTTTAGATTTGAACTCAGTACTTCTCGCACTTATCGCATTGAGTCACGGAGGTGGAAACCTTGTAAGCATTTACAATTAAAAAACATTATATTAAAACTCCGTACTACCTACAAGTAATAACATATCGTATATAATAATTATTTGTTTAACAACTAATATCTATGACAAGCAAATTATATTTTTACGCGTGAGAATAAATAGACATATCTTCTCATGGGAAATTAATTTAAATTTTCAAGTATTTAATAATTGCTGGTACATCAGCGATATAAATTCAGCAATTTACAAGGTGTTTTACTGCCTAGAATTGTATCGATCGGTATGACGGGCTCGTTCATCGACGGGTCGCGGATTCGATCCCCACCGGGGCCAACAATGGTACAATATCGAAATTCCGTCCGGATCAGGGAACTTCAAGTTTAACCGCGTATCGGTTCAGTCTGTCGATTTCCGCATATTCAAAGCCAAAATAGCTTGACAGCGAATCTTCTTTAGATGTTATAGGGATCACCTACCATACCAGCACACATTACATACCAGCGGAAACCGTCAAAGATACCCATGTATGAAAGTATGATTCCTCTTTAGGTGATTTAACAAAATGTTTTCGACACTATAAGCTTATGCTCTAAGATAAACTCGCAAGAACGACGGAATTCGACCAATGTCGTACTTTTATTAAGCACAGGAGGTAACACGCATTGATTTACCAAACTGATTCCTTATAGCCAAGCGCCGAAGCAGTTCCATGAATGTCTGACTGCCAACTTTAGGTACACGATTGAAGAAGAGCAACTCGACATCAGCTTTGGCCGTGTTGTTCAATTCCCACGGATCAGGGAGGATTTCACCAGTTAGCTCTTGCAAGACTTCTTCGGACCTCACTATTTCTGATTCCAACGTCCTCTGAGGCTTGCTGCGTTCCTGCATTATAATATATTATTAAAAGCTAATCATTGTTTTTCGGGCTGTACGGCCGACGTAAGCGAGAAGTATTCTCCGAGCAATCGAGGAGCTAACAACCTGATGATGCCGTCCGCTCGTCATGGCGAAACGTCGAGAGGCTCTTCTCGCTCACGTCAGCCCGAAAAACAATCATCATTATGATAAGATGAACGATGGCCGTGTAAGCCTTACACAATTTATATTATTAATATTTAGTATGTGTGCTCTCATGTAAATTTAATTTTACTTCAATATGAATAAGCTAATTGGAGTCTGCGCAAGTGATATAGATACGAAATCTATTTTAAAAGTAAAATATCAAATTTAAAAATCTTCATTTTTATAATACCTGTACTTTAATTCGAAATATTATATCAAAAACTCAAATTTTAAATAAACTTTGAGTAACAGTGAGTAACACTACACATAAGAAATAAAGATGAGTTATACCTTAAATTATTGAAGTTTAACTTCATGTATTCGTAAAACTATTAAGTACTTAGTCTTTAAAATGATATAAAAAAACATTGTCGAAGGTAATATTGTATATATCATGAATTTAACTATAACGTTAATCGATACGATACGAACGATAACATAATATGTAATGTATATAATTTAGTTTAGTAATAGACAAATATGTTTAGTTGATAAATTATTTAAGCCACTTATTATATTTATAATTTTAAGTCGTTTTGTTAATCTCATTTGAAGTGAAACTAATCTTATGAGAATAGCTCAAAAGGAATTGATAAATTACAAGACGAGTATAAATATTTGTTTTTCTTTAAACGTTTGGAATTAAAATAATATTAGATAGAGACGACTACAATTCAACGATAAATACTTTATTTTCTTATTAATCTAAAGTAAATAAATCGAGACCCAGAAGAGACGTTCAAATACCATTGCCAATCTTTCTTATAATTCATATGTAGTCCAATAGTAATTCGAATACATAGTAAGAAACCGGTAAGTCTAACGACTCCTATACGACTAAATATTAGCATATAATGACTCACAACGCCGGTGTTCCTCCGTAGGGCCTCCAGAGCCTCTTTGTACTCCTGCGCCGACGCATAAGCGCGTTCCGTGCGATCAGTCTGGATTTCTGGAAACAATGGATTTATTGTTAAAAAGATAAACGAAGTCTTATTTAAAACGTAAGTCAAACTGTCACAGGAACAGTCAAAGGCGAGGAACCAGTATCGCAATGTTGCCCCTGGTGGGCAAGTAACAAGTCTTTTTTTTAGCAGAAGGAAACTCGCCGTCTTCCCAGTCTAGGTGATAAGGGACTTTAGTAGCGGCTAATTTACTATTTTACTTTATTTAGTTTTACTTTTTGTATGTAAGAGTTTAATTCACTTGATACTAAAACACACCATATCAGATTTGTTATTTGCATCCCCGGTATATTACTGAAATTTTAATTAATTATATTAAATACTGTCTATAGTTTACGCGAGTAGTACACATTTAAATAAAACACTTTAACGCGATATATTAGTTAAACTTATTTGAAAATGATTTTTAACTTCGGCCCGACGTTTCGAATGCTTTGCAGCAGTCGTGGTCACGGGTGACGTGACGACGGCTACTTAAAGTGTTTTATTTAAATGTGTACTACTCGCGTAAACTATAGACAGTATTTAATATACACTTTCAAATATTGTAAACGTGGAATGTATTAGTTAAATTACTTTATGTTAAGTATTTTATATCCACTACTTGCTAACAGACAATTCTTAATTTATGGGCAACATCGTTAAACTATTAAGAAGTTATAGCACTTTAATACACGAATTAGATAAATTATTCATCTGTGTTATATTTCCCAGTCCAGACGTGCGTTTTTCCACACTTCTGCGTGACACAATTGTAGTAGAAACAATAAAATATCCTGGGTAATAAAGTACGTCGATTTGATGAATAGCATCCGAGAAGAGGTGAAAAAACCCATAGTCATTAAAAACGTAATAAGTAACACATAATGCACTACTTTTCAAAATTAGATGCGTAATTTATGGATTACTAACCAATAATTTGCCGTGTACAGTCGGGGAATTTCAGAATGTGTTCTTAGTTTCGCTCTATGCTATAATGACGAAGGCTTTTATGGTCATTAAATTGTGGCACTGAAAAGCTTTTGAGCAAATAAGGCTTGTATGTGTTTATTAATATCTATACTAATATTATAAAGCTGAAGAGTTTGTTTGAACGCGCTAATCTCAGGAACTATTGGTTCGAATTGAAAAGTTATTTTTTGAAGGATAGGCACTGCGACAGTGTTGAACTCCGCGAACACCTTTGAGGGCTTCCATTGCGTGCTCAATACGGTTCAAGAAACCAAAACATTTGTATAAAAGAAGGGTCTCTCTTTAAATAATCTACAAAAATGTTCTCGACATTATATGTATATCTTTTAAGATTAATTCGCAAGAACGACGGGGCACAGACGAAGTCGTGGGTAATGTTCTATAATTTGGAGGAAAGGAAATCTATGAGGTGGAGGTTTGCAAAAAAATTTTGATGACCAAATTCGGACACGGTCGAAGTCGCTGGCACAGCTAGTAATTTTAAATTATTTATAAAGCTGAGAAGGTTGTTGGAAAATAGAATACAATGTGTAAAATATGTTTTCTACGTGAACGAAGTCGCCGGCCCATCTAGTAATTTATAAAAAAGACTACTAGAAAGAAATGCATAAACTGAAAGGATATATAACGTAACAGTAGTTTCATTGCCCATATAAAAATCTTTGCTTCAAAACTTTGCTTTGTTTGACGTTTACTAATTCTAAACTCAGCCCCAGTAGGAATAACTCTAGAGTAAACTCCAAAGCACGATTCCGCAGTGAAGTAGTCAATTAGTAACACCTTTTTTTAATTCACGGTCACAAATGATCCAATTTGATTTTCTTGTCCTCTAACGAACAAAAAAGTAGCACGATATAAAACTGTTGTCAACACGGTGGTCCACGAAGCTTCAAGAGTCATCAGCCTGACTCTAGAACTAATCGGTTAGTCAGATTATGCGTAAAATCTTAAGACAGGGTTTTTTAACCTGTGGTCCATGCTTTCTCGGGGATTTGTGATAACCCCTGCTTATATACGAAGAAAGGAATTTTTAGTCTTTGATAACTTTAATATTTTTCACTTGTTATTATGCATATGATGGCATTGTATTAATTAGAAAACTATTTTAGGTGTAAAAAAAAAATACAAGACGAATGGGACTTAAGCGTTGAGAGCTGCTGTGCTGCTGCTCTAACAAAAAAAAAACACTATGATGCGTAGGACACGGTAGCTCAATTGGTTAGAGCAACGATATTAAACGCTGCGGATGCCAGTTCAAGTCCCGCCTGTGTCGTATATTTTTTTAAAGTCTAAAATCTACTTGATCTCCTATATTACACGTTCGACGTTCGGAGTAATACAAAAGTGTTATTAACTTAATACTATGTAATTGGTCTATAAAGCTTTATTTTTTATGAGCTGTCTGTGGACTGTTACAAAGAAGGACGATTTAATGACTGTCTGTGTGTGCAACTAGCTTTTTCACATTTCCCGCTGTCTCTTCTCTCCAATCACAATGTTTTATAGCCTAAAACCTTCCTCGATAAATGTTCTAAAACAATATATAAGTATGCAACACAAAAATAATCTTTAAATTCGAACCAGTAGTTTCTAAGATTAGCGCGCTCAAACAAACAAACTATTCAGCTTTTAGTACATCTTTAATTATTGTTCATCAACGCAGAAGCGGGTTAATTGAGTATGACCGGTTTGTACTGACAATAATTTGTTGATAGCTTTAATTTATATTTTAACATCACTTCTACTACTTCCGATCCAAGTTGTATGTTGACGGATGAAGTGCAATCGTCCTTGATCACGACTGCTGTAGCCAAAAACGTCTATAACAGATATATAAAACTATATACCAAGCAAATAGTGTGAGACTTTCGTAGCCATTTTGCGAAACAGTCCAACGCTTCAAAAAATACGGTGCAACGTCGAGAACCATTACCGATGGTCAAACAGCTCAAAAACCCAAAGGATAACATTTTTCGCGTGTAAAGCCGATAAAATTGTTATTTCATAGATCTGTTGCAGTCCTACATTTCCAATATACTCAATGACATCGCAGAACCATATATCACGAGTCCCGAAGGCATTTCGAGCTATCGCCGCCTGCATCATAACGGTGATGCCATCTATAAATTTCTCAGTTGCACGGTATAAATCTTGAATCCGTGCAACCTAACCCGATATAGGACGGCGAAAATTGGCTTTCACCAATCGATAATATCGAGATTATCTTGTGTACTTCCACGAGAATGTTAAAAATACTGCTCCGTGTTACGACCGTTAGAACTCAAAACTTGAACAATAAGTTTTGTATTTTTGTCATCTCGGGAGTGTTTTAATTTGTAATGCCTTATTAGTATAAAAGCAAAATCATTTAATACTATGTGTAGTTTACGCCAGTAATACCTATTCAAATAAAGCACTTTTAAAGGTTTTAAACGAGAAATGTGTTAGTAAAACATATTTACACCGTGACCCACGGTCGTTGCATCCGAAACGTTGGGCGTAGTTAAAGTAAATTTGTAAATAAGTTTAACTAATAAATTTCGCATTTTAAACCGTTAAAAGTGGCTTATTTAAGAAACATCATTTACATAGTGGTAGAATAGAATTTAGAAATGATTGCGCTATCATTCACAAACACGTACCTAATATTGATTTTTTTTGTTCCCTGACGCCCGTTTACATTACAAAAAAGTGCACATGACCATAAGACCACTACCACTGAGCTAAGAAGAATATTTTTTCATCTTAACTCGTTTTAATATCGTCTTCTCTATCTAGTTCGAATAAGGAGAATGGCAAACCAATAAGGGAATTATTTTATGAGCACTCATAGCTTTGATTGCAATTAGATTATACTGGATGTCTTAGTGCGTTCGTTGTGGATGTTTATTATCTTTGGCACTAATGTAAAATGTCCATTCGCAGTGCATATTAATATAATTATCCAAGGAATCGTATTACATTTCGGCATCGTGCTTCCCAAACATAAACGCTACATAACGCTAAATGATAGAAAAGGACTGACAAGTATAGGTCACCCGATGGTAGTTGAAATATCACAGCCATATAACATCTCGACAGCGCATCTTGTAAAGGTAAGACAAGATGTGCTGCCGACCCATGTTGGCTTTGAATATTCGGAATTCCACCGTAACGCGATGAAACTCGACGGCTTCCCCATCTGTGGACGGTGGTAACCCGGATGCGATATTCCTACCACCCATTTTATATCCAGATTGCCAGAAGGTGAACGATGTCGAAATGTTGGTGGGGATCGAACAACCCGTTATATATCAGCCATCTAATGTATCTTTTTCTAATCTATAGGCAATGCTAAAGGTTCTGTATTTTTAGCTTTAAACTAGAACATACATGCACACATATAGACAAAATAGCTATCCCTCCCGCTTTGCCGTAAAAAATGAATTAAACAAAATCAAGTAATCCAAGCGATGGTCTCGTTTGATAAGACGCTGTCTATTTTTAGTCATATAAAATAAAAGTTCTTCTGCACAAGGTCCGAGTTAAACGATACTGATATGGATCAAAGAGATTTTCTTGAAGTCGTTATCGTGGTATACATTCTGTAAGCGTTTAGTATCTCGATACAGTTTATTGAGATCTAGATTCTTTACATAGACCGCTTGAGTAATAAAACATAAAAGCTAAGCAGTTTAAAGTTAGTCTCTTATTTAGGCAACACATTTTTGTAGATCTTGTACCAGTTTTTCCTACCTGATCTATGAAGTAATATACAAATCCCGTTGGCCCTCGTGGGGCATGGAGCGAACCGTTTCATTGATCGGTTTTATTTAAAATTAGTTGATAAGATTTCTTTGCCCAGCCTGATCGAAACAATTTATTGTGGCGCCGAGATTCGAACCCACCCTCGCGCTCAATGCAATGTTAGACAACACCTTGTAAGTTGTAACCGTTTAGCTACAGAGAGTGAAAGACGCGTCCCCCCTCGTGGGGCATGGGGCGAATAACACATTTCTGTGTCCGTTTCATTGATCCGTACTTTTAACGGGCAATCAGTTGATCAAACTTCTGTGCCCTGCCCGACCCAAACAATTTTTTTTTCCCTGGGATTCGAACGCAATATCTCTTGCGCTTAACGCAATGCTAGGCAATACGTTCAACCTTCGGGCTACAGAGGCGGTACAGAGAGGGTTAACATAAATTAGTCAACGTAAGCCCCTTTTAAAATGAAACAATTTCAACGGCATAGAACCCAATGTATTATTGCTAAGATTTATATGACGATCAGGCGTTCTTAATTATCTTGTTTTATTCCGTTTAACATTATTAGCTGTTGTAATATTACGTTTCATAATACATTGGTAGTTCAGTAGCATATTAAAAATTATGCTACTCGCGTATACAAAGTTAGTTTTTTTAATGATAGAGGCGGGCGGAGAAGCTTGTGGTTCACTTAATTAGTAGTTAAAATACCCCACCACCACCATATAACATTCCAAAAATCAAAAGCTTAAATCTAAACGCGATTAAACTTCACGGATTTTTCTATGAATGGTGGTATACAGATTTCCAAACGAAGGCCAACATGTTTCAGAGATATTATAAATTAATTAGAAAAATATTGGACCCGATAGGGATCGAACTCACGATTATATAGCCATACACTGTTACCATTTGGCCAACGAAGCCGTCGAAAAGTCCTGAAATTGAATGCCGTTAGTTCGTGTATGGCCGACCTAAATATTTAACAACTAAAATTACAAATGAAGACAGAGAAACGATGCGAGCAAAAAGTACACATCTGATGATTACACATTGAGTGTTAACTCGTAATAAGGTATTCGGAAGTGGAACCGCAAAAACGTCTTCATTACGAATACTAACGGTAGCTAAAATAAGTAATTCCTTGTTTTAACAGTAGTCACAAAGGCCTTTTTTAAGATAGAGGAGAACAGATAAGCGTGGCGTTCACTAAACCTAAACGAAATACCTTACATATTTAGGCTTTGGATATTCGGAAATCCAGATTGAAACGGAAACGTAATTAAACTTATTCATTTATGGATGGTGCCATTAAATATTCAGATTTCTAGACATTAAAAGCATGATGGTCCTGGTGGGGAACGAACCCACGACCCGTTGATTGCTCATTACAACGACATACATAGTACACTAATATTGACAATGTATAAGATACTGTCTATAGTTTACGCGAGTAGTGCACATTTAAATAAGACACACGCGGTTTCTCCCCGTGACCACGGCTGCTGCAAAGCATCCGAAACGTCGGGCCAAAGTTAAAAATCATTTTCAAATAAGTTTAACTAATATATCGCGTTTTAAACCGTTAGACACGACCGTACATAAAACACTTTCAAGAGATAAAAACGCGAATTTTTCAATGACCCAACATTTTCGGATTATTTGCTCGCTCCGTGATCGTAGATGCTGTCGAAAACACGGGTCGAAGATAGAAATAAATGAAATATTACGTGTTTAGAACTTGTAATTTTTGTGCAATGTTTTTTTGTGTGTAACTAATGTCTCTTCAAGACACAGCCTACACTAAGATATAATGTTAATAGCTTTAAATGACATCAAATACAAGACTCCATTCCCTCTGTCGTGTCTAATTAAGGGGAAGATATACTATTCTTGTTAGATATTTAAACATATAGGCATAACACCCATTTAGATAAAAACCCGCCAAAAAAACCTGTAAAACCCATTATAGACACACCATTCAAAGAACCGAGATTCGAATCTAGGACGTTATGTAAAACAATGAAAAACATTTTACAACTAAAACTATTATATGTATTTACCAACTGATTTTCTGTCCTATACGTTCTGTACGCATAACTGTAACTCAAGTATATAGTATATACATATAGCATCCAACATACCATGAACAATGAACAAGCCATCATTACAATATGGCTTTGAACTCTCGTCTTTAAACAAACCGATTGTCTTGCTGTAATTAAGTAATTATGAAATGTCAATAACTTGCCATGTCTAAAAAATAATCTTTATATGGTCTACAACGTCAACAGAAGCAGCAAAGACATTCTTTCTCATATACAGATAACAAAATTAATCTTCTTTCCAGTTTTGACGTATATCTATGATACGAGAATAAAAACGTACGCGGTTTATCGATGAAAACAAGAGAGACATGGTAGTTTAGATAGTAGAGTAACGTATGGTCTGTGGTCGTCTTTTCCAGTCTCGCCCGTGTTATTCATTTTCTTTCGAAATAAACCTGTTTTTAAATTTTACAAACGTAGTACTAAATACTTTCTGTAGTTACGCGAGTGTTACACATTTACATACATAGTACACTAATATTGACAATGAGTAGGATCTAACCGTTAGACACGACCGTACATAAAACACTTTCAAGAGATTAAAACGCAAATTTTTCAATGGCCCGACGTTTCGGATGCTTTGAGTGACCGTTAAAGTGTTTTATATAACCGTGTAATTGTTAACCACTAGCCCTTAAAATGTAAGCAAAAAGGAGAGGTTATTATATTATATATCCTTAGCATATTTTGCAAAAATGGCAGAACAATCGTATCGCCTCCAAAATAATTGAACGGATTATTCGCGTTATATAAATAGTTCGCGTGACGGCGTTCGTCCTAATGATGTTCATTCGTTGCTTAATGATAACAATTTAGGAACACAAGCCGCAAAATAATACCGTTTATTGCCACGCCCTCCGTTCCAACTGTTATTTTATGCTGTATTAACATCAGGTGGGTTTGAACTAGACTCGTTGGTTATAAAGATTGAATTAAGCGCGAGAAAAAGGTTCGAATCGTGGAGAATATCATTTTTTGGATTGTTCAATTGGGATTAAAAGATATATCGACTATTAATTAATGAAA